GGTACTTGTGGGGAGATGTATGTGACAATGGATGATATATGTGAGGAAAGCGAAGATGTGTTGGTGTTGAGGTTGAGGTTGTCACGTGCAGGATGTAGGGTATGCACTACACATTACTCTAGACTTTGAGGGAATGGGGGACATTGACTCGTTTGACGCAAGACATGGATGTAGGATGGGATGATGGCTGATAGCATCTACACGGGAGTAGTGCCGTTCGGCCAGTTCTCTTTGCCCAAGCAGGCACGTAGGTAAGTGCGTGGCGAGGACTTTTTGGCGTCGTCGTCGAAAGCGCGAGTGTCAGGTATATGGTGAAAGTGGGGCGTTGGAGTGATTTTACAGCAAAAGGTCACGAGAGCAGAAGTAATTGGGGAGCCATGAGATGAGAGTGCGCAGATGCGACTGCGGGTGCTGGGTGAGACTGTGGTTGACGTGGGGCTTATTAATCAAGATGAGATGAGCATGCGCGAGATGATGAGGCAGATGAGGGGGAGGTTGTGGAATGAAGTGGTTGGTAGTATGACGGATATCGATCATTATTTTGATGGAGTCTAGTGGAAAGATGAGAGTGAGGAGTTAGTGGGGGTGGTCAAGAGAATATGTCTATCTCTCTGGGAGTATATGAAAAGTGGTTTGTTCCGTCGTGACAATGAGAGGTGACTAGCAAACTGGGGTACAAACCCGGCATATCTTGCATACCCCCTTTCCGACATTTATATCAGGTTTCTCCTTTTTTCCATTCCATTCGTTCAATGCGAATATCCATGGCACATGGGGGTAATCATGTGAAACCGACGTGGTGTTGCGCTCGGACTAGGCCGGGTACAAAGTACTGTCGATTTCATTCTCTGACACATTGATGTTACGTTACACTTGCATGTTGGCGACCGGAGCGTGGTGAAATGGCAGCCACATCGGTTACTGCACCCGGATGCCACTACAAAACGGTTTACATGGCAAGTGTTGCGGAGCGACGAGTCGTGGAGAGATATGGTTGAACAATACTGTTGTTTGTGATGGTTAGGCGTTTTCCACGATTGCGGGATACTATAAGCTAGGGTTATAAGGCCACATGTGCTGAGGGTCCCACGATACGGACAGAGATAGATACTCCGCGCTTTGATAGATACTCCTCCCCGGGCGATAACGTTCGATATCTTGTATCAACTAAACCAGGGCACGACTGCCTGTTGTCGCTTTTACTGGTTAAACGTCATTGGGATGTGACCTACTTGGAGCGATAATGGCGCGGTCAAATGACGTGTTTTGAAGAGAGTCATGAAACAACACAAATCTTGACACTGGGGGTGGGTGCAATGTTTTGATGATGAGGGTGGTGTAGTGGATTAAGAAAAGTGTTGTGGTTGAGCAAATCGACGATACATACCAAGTCAGGTATGCAGACCAATCCATTGGATAAACTTGGGGGCTGACACGTTCTATTGATGGACTGCAGCGATCGCCGAGCCTAGAACTCGTCATGTTGCCTGTTTGAGCAATTTGGTTCGGTATTTGTCGTCATATGTTGCGGCTCCGCGACAGTGACGGGTAAGGAGTACCGCACCCATGCCATTTACGGCGAGGACATGTCGTAATGTCAACGGTGCCCGTGAAGTAATACGACGAGCTATCGTGATAGGAGGAACGCGCGGATTTGCATCGCCGTGATGCCTATCACTTCCGGGACGCTTTGGTAGCGATTTGACGTATGGCAGATTGTCGATCAGGAAGGGGAACCTGGTTGACAATGCGATAGTTGCCCCCGTTGTCAACCTATTGTCTGCCCTTATCCTTCGAGTCGTGGTATAGGAAAGCGAGCCGCAGCATCGGAAGTGACGTCAGAGGGCCCGATGGGGTGTTTGTGCAGTCCATGGATAAAGGGCCGAAGACGTCTTGCAACAGACCGGGGTTTACATCATGCTGCTTCAGCTGTCAAGGTACAAATCCTTGAAGACAGAATCGGGAAGCCGTCTTTGGTTGTACCGCTGGCGACCCTGGCTGCGCATCAATGGGTACATGCCTGGTCTTTGGAGTTTCCCCATATCGGGTGCAATGCTAGCGCCATAGACACGTGACTGTGGATAGGTGATCGGACCGACCAGACAACGCGGTCTAGTGTAGAAGCATGAAATGCTTAGTGCATGCTATATAGTGCCCAAGAGTGGGGATTCGTGTACAGCGTGTATCGGGTGGGCAAAGCGCGGCGCCAGGTGACTTTGTGTGAACCGTCTCGAGGTAGCGGGACTCAGGATTCAACGTGAACAAGGCATATGTCCATGTACACTGGTGGGGCAGAGCACAGAGCAAAGTGAAGTATCAGATGCGGGTGATGAGGCCATACATTGGCTCTAGACGGTCGTGGTAACGGAGTACCTTGACTGATGATTTTCGCGTGGCTGCAGCCGTACACCGATGCGAGATGACGTTAAGGGTGAAGGGAAGGAAGGGGTCGGGGATGCTGGTGGGAGGAGCCAGTGGTGAGGTGATGAAGCAAGTGTTTGGCTTGTTGAATATCACATGAAATGGACTACATACTCAAAACACGTGGGAAGGGGAGGGGCGCATGCAAGCGCCATCAGCGCTTGTTGTGACGGTGAGCTGTCGTTGCTGGGTAGTGTGTAATATGTATGCTTACCTGTATACCCTGCGCGCTTTGAGTTTGTTGGTAGGAGGTCGAGGAGCAGGAGTGCTTGGGAACCCCAGACTACCATTTCCATGGGACAGCGAAACGGCGTGGGCGACAAGGGAGATACGAGTATAATGGAGCGTACACAGCACAGTACGTCAACAGGGCTGATGCACGGCGCGCAATGCCTAAGGTTAAAACGGTCTAGCGGGGAGACACTTGGCGGTACGCTAGTATTGGATGGGGACATGGTGTGTATAGTAGATGTCGATGTACAGTGCATGATGCATCCATCCGGTTATACAGTTAGCGGTGAATAGGGTTAGCCGGGGTTGGCAATGCATTCCCAAAGGGATTTGGGGTCTTGTTGGAAACGAAGGAGGGAGGGAGGGGCGGCTCGCCAGACCTACTGCAAGAGAAGTGTTGACGTTGCAGAGTGGAGGGCGATTCAGGTAAGATTGAAAATGGACGGCACAGCGGCAGCTACGGGGCTGTTACTGGCTGTAGGACTAAAGTTTGCCAAATGCCGTTTACGATGCAGACTGCATGAACGACAGATGAGCGGCGACTGTGACTGGGAAGTAGAGAGTGATGTCGGCCAGTCAGTCTGGACGGAAAAAGCGCCGGTCGGGCTTTGGGTGAGCAGCAGCCACTTGGCGGAGGTGGTGATAGGCGACTGCGGGAGGCCCGCGCCCCAACGAAATGCGCCTCGACCGAGAGCGGCGATTGAGGGGAGAGGGGAGGGGAGAGAGTGTGTGAATGGGGGATGGGGTGCATGCTATTGCTCGAGTGAATGAATGTAGTATGTATGTATTAGTATGTACGTATAGTATATATGTGCGTGGTATGTGGTCATCTTGATGACATGTATATGTGTACACTAAGGAGCATACATGAGAGATGGAGAGATACGCGGCGTGTGAATGGATAGATAGGCGGAGGGATGGGTGGATGCAGTGAGATGAGAGAGAGAGAGAGAGAGAATGAGAGAGAGAATGAGAGAGAGAATGAGAGAGAGAATGAGTGAGTGAGTACACGTCTGTTGGCAGAGTGCAACGCGTGTGTGTGTACGTGTATGCAAAGGCCGGACGTGGGAGCAGCTGCAGGGTCCAATCAAGGCAGGCGGGCAGGGATGGGCCTGGTGTGCTCAAGGAAGGCGCGAGGCAGGCGCTCGGGTGATCGGGCTCCGGTGGTGTCAAAGGAAGCAAGTCGACGGTAGCAGTAGAGATTCGCAGTCAGCTGGACGGGAGGCCATGTTTCGGACCAGGAGTCGAGGCAAGGCAATCGTAATTTGGCCAGCAGCGGGCGTGGGGGGCATGCTTTAAGGCAATGGATGAGAAACGGGGCAGGCGCTGGAGAAGGAGCACGACATTGCGGGTCGTGGGCTCAGGCTGATGCCGATCTCCTCAGCAGCTGCACGTAAGCAGGCGACACCATGTGCCCCAGACACTGAAGAGCGAGCGGCCGTGGACCATGGGGTATTGGACTTGGTAGGCCTGGCACTGCATTGACTACTGTGTCTGTATACGAGGGCGCGGGGGAAGCGTGACTGTGAGTGTGCCTGTGGCTAGGCTGCAGGCTGGATTCTCGGGAGGACTGTGGCTGGGTGATTGCATATAGGTACGTACTTGGATACTTGGGTACATGGTAAGTACACTTGTGTCAATGTAGTGTATACAGACTATAGGCTCCCAGCTGGCCCTCTGGAGCGTGGCCATTGTGCGGGTGCTGGAGGCTGGCTACCACTACGGCCATGGCTGGCTAGGGTGAGTTGGAGTAAGTAAGTAGACAGGGCCTCGGATCAATGTAGCGCCAGGGCTAGGCAGGCTGGCGGCGGCCATTTAGTCTGCTGCTTGTGTAAGAGCAGCACAAACACAGGCAAACAGCCGAAACGAGGCCGGCTAGGGCAGATGCAACGCGCCGACCTGCCCGCTCGACTGGCTTGAAACGTTTGCGACGGCAGCGTCGAGGGCGTTGCAGTGCGTGCTATGCTTTGGACGAGTGCTTCAACAGAAATCTAGAAGATACGAGTACGCGAGTAGAGTAGTAGGACTTGTTGCGGCTAGGCCATCTCGTCGTCGTGTGGCGCGACCCCTCTCCTGCCCACCACCATGCCCGCCCAGTAACCAGCACCAGCACCAGCACCAGCACCAGCACCAGCACCGGCACCAGCACCACCCGCACACACCCACGGTAGCAGCTGGCAGGTGTGTCCGTGTAGCATGTAGTATTACCAGTAGTCTGTATGCAGCCAGCATCAGCGTCAGCGGCGGTTCGCAGGCCCGTGTTGGGAGCATGGAAGGGAGCGCCCCCCCTCCCCCTGGTCAGGTGATCACCGCCACTGCGAGCGAGCACACCCAAGCCCAGCAACACCATGTGCATCAGCAGCACGCGGGCGGAATTTCCTCGGATCACACCTGCGCCACTGCAAACGGGCTCGGACCCGGGCGCAGGCTCAGTGAGCATGTCAGCTACCAGCTACCAGCTACTACCAACTGCCATGCGTCCAGTAGTACGCCCTTCTAGAAGACGGCGACAAATGCACGCAACAAGGATGGCCTGGCAGCAGGCAAGGTCAATGGCAACCGACGACAGCAACGAACAGGCGCTCCGGCTCTAGTCCATGTCCATGTCCATGTCCATGTGCATCGTACATCCGACTAGCTATTAGTTGTAGAGGCGACCAACCGTGTGGCCGTGCATGCCATGCTCTCCGTCTTGCCTCGTCGCTCTCCAAACGCGCCTCTGCCTCGGCCGGCAGCGCCGCCCCGCCACGGACGGCCCTCGATGACATTCACCCTCAATGCCGGGTGCCTGTCGCTCGCACACGCAGGGCGCCAGTGAGCTTCGGCCGTTCTGTTGCAGTCGCCTGTGTGGCTGCTCATTTCGTCATGCAACCCGCCATGGCTCTTCGTCAGAGTTGCACCTTTGCTGCCGGCGACGCATACAGGTTACAGTAGCGCCAGCCCGCAATTGGCCGCACCCACCCACCCATCGCCAGGGATCCTCGAAGCCCGCCCAGCAGTCGGCCGCTTGTCCTTTCTACCCTCGTTAACCTCGTCACCGCTTCCACGCCAACATATAGCCCCCCCAGGCCCCGGCTTCACCCACGGCCATCGGTACTTTTTTTTAAGCCCCCCCCCAAAACACAACCATTGCCACAGGACCTGAATTGCTAAAGGCACACATATCTCTTGCTGCTGCCTTGTATTGCTCACTACTACTACTACTACTACTACTACTACTACTACTACTACTACTACTACTACTACCACTACAACAACTGTGCCTTACTATCCACCAACACCCATTGTTGCAGCACGCACCAATCCTCGCCTGCACCACGCCACACCACACCACCGCCGCACAGTCATCCGGGACCGCGCCTAAACGCCTCGCACAGTCCCCGCCACAACTCCGCGCGCACCCCGCCGCTGCTTATATCCCATTGACTTCGCCTAACCGTGAAGCTGGATTCATACGAGCACCCGCCTCCCCTCACCCACTCGCCGCGCGAATCCACCGCAGCGAGCACTCCCATCACCACGCCTGTTGACCACCCTTCGTCGCCGCACTTTGGCCGTGTCAACAAGGACTCCCCCGCCACCCTCGCCAACCTCTGGCACCGCAAGCCCCACGAGCTTGCCGCTAGCCGCCAACCAGACGAGGACGTCTTGTTCGAAGACGCGGGCGATTGCAGCTTCTCGCTCTTCCCACAAGAGCCCCAAGTTCACGCCGGCTTCGCAGACATGGCCACTGCCTCGCCCATTGACATCCAGACGCCCCCGCGCTATGGCTCAAACTCTCCCCCAAACCAAACCTCCAATCTCACCTCTGCCCTCAAGCAGGCAGAGGCCCAGCCAGACCTCGCCACCACCCCGGGTCTGCTAAACCCTAACAACTTCGACTTCAATCACAATGCCCGTCCCAGCATCAGCGAGCGCCACCCCTCCATCAGCATGCTCGGCTCTTCCTTTTACGGAAACAGCGGCGCCAGGCCCATCACCATGAAGGACCGCGGGCGTCGCGAGAGCACAAACATGGGCAGCTTCGCTGGCGGCATGAGCTGGGGCGGCCACTCGGTCGGCTCGTGGATTCGCGATGAGTAAGTTACCCCCACCCGCTTTTCGGGCCGCCACAACAAAACCCAACTAACACGTTTTACGCAGCATCATGATGGGCACTTCACCCGCACCTTTTGCCAACAACTCGCCTTCGTTCCACTCGTCGTCATATTTGCCCAAGATGGAAGCCGCCTTTATGAAGGATTTTACTTGCTGCGGCCTCACCCTCGCGTCGCTGCACGATCTGCTGCAGCACTTTGAGGAGACGCACGCAAACGCGCCTGCAGCCCGCCCCCAACAGCCCCCCACAAATGGCTTCACCTCTGCATCAGGCGCGCCAACAAACTCAATCGCGCCCAGCCAGACTCAGGGCGATGCACCCTTCAACACCCAAAATGGCTTCCAACAAAGATCGGGCTCAGTTGGCGCGCACCGCCCACGGATAGGCTCCGTCAGCCGCTCCAACCTGTCCACTGTACAGGACATGGATTCGCTAGACGACATGGATATGGACGACATCAACTTTGACACACTGGGCTCCATTGACGAGCAGCAGCAGCAACAACAGCAGCAGCCGATGCAGCAATTCCCAGTACAAAATCAATTCAACCAGAACCAGAACCAGCAGTCAAATCTCAACGTCAACGTCAACATGGCCAACAACATGCAAAACCACCAAGGCATGCGAACATCAACGCCAAACACGCCCTCGGCCTCGCAGCAATTCAACCTCCAGAACAACCCCACCGTGTCTTCGGTCAACACGCCAACAATGGGCACTATGCCCATGACAAACCACAACTTGACCTCGCCAGAATCCTCACACCCCGGCACTCCAGCCGAGCTTGACATGGATTTTGGCGGCTTCAACCCAATGATGGGAATGGACATGGGGATGCCCATGGGCATGAACTTCAACGGAAATGGCAACGGCAACTTTGGCATGGCCGCTTTTGACAACAATGGCACAATTGACCAGCCAGGCAAGCGTCTGTTCAGCAAGCAGGGCGGTGGTCTCAACCAAGCACAGCTGCAAGCAGCCCTCAAGAACTACCAGCTCAGCGGAAACGATCAGAGCGAAATGGCCAGGCGGTTACGGGAACAGCAGCTTCTTAACGGTGCCAGCATTCCCCAATTCCCATTTCCCGAAGAGGTCAAGCCATTCCGATGCCCAGTTATTGGGTGCGAAAAGGCATACAAGAACCAAAACGGTCTCAAGTACCACAAGCAACACGGCCACCAGAACCAGCAGCTCAAGGAGAATGACGATGGCACATTTTCCATTGTCGATCCCCTGACGTCGATCCCATACCCCGGCACAGTTGGCATGGAGAAAGAAAAGCCATATCGCTGTGAAGTATGTGGCAAGCGGTACAAGAACCTCAACGGTCTCAAATATCACCGCTCCCATGCACCTCACTGCAACCCCGAGTTGGCCATGCAGAAGCTCGGCCTTACCGGAAACCTTCAGAATCTGCAGAATGCCAATGTTGCGGGTGCTGGAATGGGTGGCATAGATCCTTCCATGTTCTAAACTACACATGCCTTGAACTTTACCTCTACTTCTCTTAATACCCATTTTCTATCATCCAAGACGAAAAGGTCACGACTGGTTTCACCTCTTCGTCATATGCATCTCCTGGCGTTTCTCGGACTGGGAGAATCTTTTCATTTCTCATCTCCTACCCAAGCCAGCCAGCCCTGGTGTTTGGATACAAAAAAAAAGCCAGCCAGCCCGCCACATGTTTTGATTCATGTGCATACATCTCTCGAGAGGTGCATCTTCCTTTACCAGCACGTCACGCTTGCTATCACGATTTGATGCTCATTACCAGAGTTGAATGAGTGGCCATGTCCTTCTATTTGTTTTATGCGGAATATATCCCCTGGGTCATCATTGTCTTTTCTGTTTGTCTCTGACTACTTTTTTCTAGACTTTGGGTCTTTGTAACAACGGGCGTTGAAATCGCAGTCACAAAAAGTTATCAAAACAGGTCTACGCTTATGCGCTGTGTTTTTATTTGTTTCTTTCAGTATGATATAGTTATAGACTTGATGGATTTTCTTGTCAGCCAGTCAATCAGTCGGTCAACAATGGGGATTTCAAGAGGGATCTCTCTAATACTACGCTCTACATACTCTCTACCTCGATCCAATTCGTCTTACTCACCTCCCGTCTCGTCACTCACCGTCATCGCCTTCTGACCGCCGATTCAACACACAGACAACAGACCAAGTAAGCAATGGAATGGAAAAAGGTCATCCCACGTATCAACACGTTGCTGTTGCAAGCTACAAGGTTGCTCCATGTTCACTTGAGGGACCACGAGTCCTTTTCGCCCAGGGTGGCGTTACGGCCGTTAGGCCAAGAGTCGGCAATCGAAAAGCATCAACAACAAAACGAGAGCTAGCACAGCTGCTCAGCTCGTCGACGACACACGAAACACACGTGCGTTCTTATTGACTAACAGTATGCCCAACTCGGAGCAATCAAAACCCACAAATGTATTCGTGCCCATAGCGCACATGCGCCTTGCCCGCGCTCAGGGTCCTTCAAGCGGCACGTCCACGCACGCACATACGCACGCACGCACATGTATGCAATACCGCACGTGTGTCTATGACTCGCCTCATGTTTGGCCTGCCAAGACACGACTTCATGTTACCTCCCCACGCTACTGTTACTAGACTGCCCGTCGCAATAGCCGCCGGCGGGCTGGACGGCCTGCATGACATGCATTTTGTGCGCCCCAACTGCCTGTTTGGGTATGACGGCTGTCACGTGTGAGCGTTTTGGCGGCTCTTGTGTTTGGGTGTGGTTTTCTTGGCCGTATTTGGCCGAGACTATGGCCGACGAGTCAAGTGTTTAGGGAACGGCTGGAGAAGGGTTAAGCACTGGGAATAGACGGCTAGAATCTAGTAGATGGGGGAGATTTGAAATGAGAGATTTGGTGGCGAATGTGATTATTTTGCGGGTTAGGGAAGGGTAAAAGGTACCGAGGCTGCGGATCAGGGTACACGGAATATGTACATGAGGGTTTCACCAAGTATTTGCAAGGGAAAAAGGGACGTGAGTAGAAGGGTCCACATGTAAGATGGGTAAAACAATCATGGATACCTCTCTTGTTGGATGAAAACATACTAGTCCAACTCGTCCTTGAAACACAGGCTCTCCTCCTACTTTTTCTTTCCAAATTCTTACATGCATTAACGTAAACCTACAACAAAGTGTGAAACGCAAACACAGAAACACTCTCGAAAACCAACCCGATACTACCCATCCAGTTTTTTTCCTCCTCTCCCCCGTCTCTCTGAACCCCTGGCTACACAAAGTCACACACATAATGTCATGCACGCAATTATCCCACTATGCATGGATCCTAACCAAGCCACGTGCGCCTGCAGCGCTACGTGCGGGAACGAAGAAAATCAGAGGACGTTTTCTTTATTCCTTTGCGACAGAGGATGACGTTTGTAGGGACAGGAATCTCATCTTTTGTGCGCATAGGGTTTGTAGTAGCAAGAGAGATGGAAGAGCAGGTGTAGGTGTTTGAATGTGGTGGGCTTCCCCTTCCTTTCTTTCCTTCCCTCCACACAAGATCCAGGCTTCCCCATCTATCCCCTTCACCCCTCCATCACCTCGCCAAGTCGTGTTTTCAACCGTCATTTCCGTACCTCATTCTTAAAATCTTGATCGCGAGTCTTAATTGTCCGGTCGCATGGTCCTGTTTCCTTGCTTTCTTTCTTGCTTGGGCATCCTTGCATACTCGCAGTCCTCACCCTAATCTACCTTCCCTACCTCATCATCTCAGTATCATCTAGATATATTTCCTGCATCCATCCTCTCTCTACCCAATCACCGCTACCTCACCCAGCCATGCAGCACTACCTACAAGCTGCACACGCTTCACCCCGCTCCGCTTGCATCCATCCTTCCATCCCTGTTCCCCGCCCCCGCCCCAGCCAGCCACCGCACACCCAAACGAGATATCCTTTTGGTACACACTGGTAATTGCCAACGGAAATCATTCACATTTCGCAAATCGAATGCGCCACGTGCTTATGCAATGCATCGTCAGCCGTTTCACTACGCCACCTGGAGAAGAGCGAGATAGGAAAACGCAAGGGATGAGATAAAGTAATCGACCTCGGGTCTGACCCGGCCTAGTACTAATGCCACAAAAGTTGTTTCCTTGGCTCTTGCGCTGATAAACCTTTTGGCAACTTGGCCTCACCAACCTCGTGTTTTTCGTGCTCCAAAGATATATATGAGGTGTATTTCTGGGGATTGTAGTAGTACACCTGACCCTATCCGCATCCCCGCTTTTTGTCACATCTTCCAGCGCAAATGGCTACATACGGTACGTTTGGTGGGGACGCGGAACGGCATCCCGTGCCTAGGTCTGAAGCGCCATGGGAGAAGCTAAAGGCTGAGTCGTATTCCCTTTTCCTAAAGCTGAGCGAGTTGCCAAAGGGGACGTATGATGAGTTTGAAGCTTCGTGGGCGGATGAAAAAGAGAATGGTGCGTTCAAGGGTGGGTTGGGCGCGGTGATTGTGGTGAGGTACAGTGAGACGCCTGTTGGTATGTTTGATTCCTCCTTTCATCCCCAAATCCCATATCATACTCGTATTCGTAGGCAATTGTATCTGCAAAGATATATACATACACCCAACTCATTCTAACCACCCGCCGCAAAGGCCCATACGACGAAATCATCTTCGTCCCCGGCAACTTCACCACGCCTCTCCCCCCAACACCCTCCTCCCTCCCCGCAAAAGCCCTCCGCATATCTCGCATCTACGTCTCCCAACGCACAACCACCTACAACGGCCGCCTAAACTGGAACATACCCAAACACCTCGCCCGCTTCTCCTTCTCCTCCCCCCCAACCCCCGCCGGTGCCTCCCCTCCTTCCTCCTTAACCGTAAAAGTCTTCCCCCCTTCCTCCATTGACGGCGACTCCACCCCGCCCTTCTTCGCCTGCACCCTTACACCTTGGAAGTGGGTCCCAGCTCTACCTGTTAATACGAAATATATTCCTTTCAGCTTGGCGGTTGTTCAACCACCTATTCCTGAGCCGCCGGGGCACAAGGAGGCGCTGAAGAAGGTACTTGAGGGGGAGAAGGTGGATCCGTACGATATAGATCCGGACAAGGCGCTTGCAGTTCTGGCCGGGACGGATAAGTGGAGGGAGTTTGAGATTAGCGCGAACAGTCCACGGGCGAGGGGGTGTTGGGTGCAGGTTCATGAGCCTGAGGGGGAGGCAGGTGAGGAAGGGGAAGGGAAGACATATTTTCCGAGGGAGTTAGGACCTTGGAGGGTTGGAGGGTGGATGGAAGATGTGGAGTGGTCGATTGGGGGGGTTACGGAGTGGACTGTTGAAAAGGCGGGGACTTGAGGGTATTGCTAGAAGAGAGGGAATCGAAGGATGGATGTATGAGAAGGAAGCTGTGTCCTCCTGTTTTTCTCTCTTAGGCGTTATTTCAAGGTTGATAGTTTAATATATCGATATACGAACCAATTTCTCTCATATCATTCTTGTCTTCTTTGAATTTTACAATCACAGTACTACTCTATACACGAATCCATTTCGAAGTATTACCTACCTCACTCACGGTTGACGATATGCAGGGCCAAGTAAATATATCCAAATTGGGCTGAGTATATAATCTTCTATCTCCAAATCTCTTGTTTTTCGGGTCTCTCTTCACCTCCCGGCCTGGAAGACTCCAAAAAGATATACCTGATTGATGAAGAATGAACTCAGTATAAAAAAACTTCCGGATTTTTTTTAATTTCAATACTGTGCCCTTTTCTCTGAGAAGATAAATCAATGCATCCACCGACCTCAGATAGAGCCCGTATGAGTCAATATACAGAACATCTATGATTCTTGATCACGTTATTTAGATTGTAATTTCACAGAATAGCTGCGCTGGAGCTAGAGATGTATTTTAGTTTACATAGAGGATACGGGATAGAGAATATTCACTACTTTGTTGCTGTGAGGTAGGCATGATACGTTATAGATCTAGTTCGCATCTGATTGCAATCGAATTTTAAGGTACTGACAGCATTATCTCGTAAGGCAAACATAACTACTCATGCTCCCAACAACTCTATTACGTCAACATTCCGTACGTGGCATGTGACATGACTGCATAGAACCTGACAAAAAATATGCAGAGGGGCGAGTTACGGAGCGTGGTTCTATCGGGAGTAGTTAAGGAGTCATGTCTACGGCGCATTCATTATTCCACATGCATATACAAGGATTATTTACACTTTCGCAAGGTTAATTAAGATCCACATACTTGTACTTGTATTGGAATGCTTTTCGAAGTGCAGAAAGAGATTATGGTCGGGATCTAATGCCTAGAAATGGGATTGATAAGGTACCTGACAAACTGTACAGTGCACTGACCGACACACCAAATTGTCTATTCATTCTAAAGGTTACTGATAGATTGGAGCCATTGCTGGCAAGACTAGAATATGTCTGGTAGAGAACAACGGCGAGATTATCAGCCCAATGGCAAGCCAACAGACCGATCCACGGCGAGTACTCCGATACCGATGCTCTGAACTCCGCATCTCACTCCGAAAAAAATTATTTCCGGAATATGTCAAGTCAGTCCAACTCACCGCCAATATCCAGTCGAGTCTTGGTCTTCGGCATCTACGGCGAATCATGGCCCGGTTGGTAAGAGCATGTCGGAAAACCCTTCATCGGTAGCGGGCGATACCGCATCTAGAGAAATAGACGAAGCCGCCAAGTGGGTCGTTTGGTCATAGCCGTCATCCCCTCCACCGTTCCCTGTCCTACTTATACCTCTGGGCCTTCTCCTTTGTTCTACACAAAAAGGCCGGAGAACCATAATTGCGACTTAATCAACGGCCCGTGTTACCGACTGGGAGGTACTTACGGGTAGAAGTGGACGCACCTCGGGGACTGTGCAGGAGCTCTTTCAAACCCTATTCAAGCGCACGTGCATTGCGCACATTCTCATCACACGCCATCCATCCCTGTTCCGATATCACCTCAGCACCGCGTATGAGCAGCGAACCCAAAGGCAGCACGCCAGGATCAATCAACCCGCTCGCTCGAGTCAATACCTATCCCCAAGCAGAGTTCACTATTCCGCCTTTGGACACGCTATCGCCATGCCCAAGTGCCCCAACTCAAACCGCCAATGCCCTGGCATCAGCCAGATCCAAGGAGAGTCACCCAAACAGCACTGCAACTGGATATGAAAAGTCTCGCCAGCCTCATGATGAGGAATCTCGATCCATCACCTCGACTACTCACACTGAGGTGACCTACCCAGAAGGCGGTCTAGGCGCCTGGTCTGTTGTTCTCGGATCCTTTCTAGGCCTCATTGCCTCATTGGGTATGATGAACACGGTCGGCATCTACCATGCCTACATTGCCGAGCACTACCTGCAAGACTACAGCGAGTCGACCATCTCGTGGATCTTTAGCATATACGTGTTTCTGTCCTTCTTCTGTGGACTTCAAATCGGCCCCATCTTTGACGCCCATGGTCCGCGGCTCCTAGTGCTGGCTGGTAGCATCTTGCTGTGTCTGTCAAACTTTCTCCTTGGCATATGCACCCTGTACTGGCAGTTCTTCCTCGTCTTTGGCGTCCTTGGGGGCCTTGGCACGTCGCTGATCTTTACTCCTGCTTTTGCAGCAATCAGTCATTTCTTTCACCAGAAGCGAGGTAATGCTACAGGTATCGCTGCAGCTGGAGGGTCGCTGGGTGGTGTCATCTTCCCACTGGCCCTGGAGAAGCTGTTACCTACAGTGGGGTTCCCATGGGCTACTCGCATCGTTGGCTTCATCATGCTCTTCTGCTGTATCGGTGCCTGCATCCTCATCCGCTCTCGACTGCCGCCTAAGCCTGGACAGTCGGTGTGGCCCGATTTTAGAATCTTCAGTCACAAGAGCTACTTTCTTCTCACAGTAGGCATCTTCATGATGGAATGGGCACTCTTTATTCCAATCACTTACCTCACAACTTTTGCAGTGAGTACTGGTGCGTTCAGCCCGTCCTTTGCGTACCAGCTGGTCGCCATTTTCAACGCAGGAAGCTGCGTCGGTCGCTGGCTTCCTGGCCTGCTGGCCGACAAGTTGGGTCGGTTCAACAGCATGATTGCTGCATTGGCAGTTTGTTCTGCCACATCGTTGGTATTCTGGCTCCCAGCATCGCTTCTCGCGCCAACTACTGAATCTGCAGCTGCGGCCATCAAAGGTCTATCAATCGTCTACGCTGTCTTATTCGGGTTCGCCTCTGGCTCCAACATCTCCCTGACACCAGTATGCGTGGGCCAGCTCTGCGATACAAATGTCTACGGACGGTATTACGCTACCTGCTATACTGTCGTGAGCTTCAGCACCCTTACGGGCATACCCATTGCGGGAGCAATCATCCAAACTACTGGCGGACACTACTGGGGTGTAGTGATCTGGACTGCGGTCTGTTACGTTGTGGCTTCGCTTTGCTTCGTGTGGAGTCGAGCTTTGCAGGTCGGCTGGAAGCTGGGGGTGAAATTCTAAGAGATTACGCATTCCTAGTGCACTTGCTAGAAAGAAAACTGGGTGTGCAGCCATTCTAGTAAATGACCTACTAAACTACGCGCTATCGCGTGCATGATACATGGTGTTGTGGAGGGCTAAATTGTTATCGAATAAGAGGAGTTGGAGAGACGGAGAGGAGGGCGAATACAAATTGAAATAGGCGGCCTGGTTTCTTGGTAGGCGAAGTTTATCGCGTTACTATTACACTCGTTTTTTGCTCAATATCGTTAGTAGATGCGGCACGTGCCTTCAGGACTGCCCCAATCCATGAAACAAAAAAAGTACAGTCGTTTCTCGCCGCTCTATCGCGATCAGTCCTATTTTTTCTTGCTGCAATCCTTTTTGGTGAGGCTGATTTGAGTTCTATATTTATCCAGACCACTATATCTTGGCCGATCTGTCCATTCGCCCCCTCCACCCGGGAGAGGGAAAAACACGCTGCCGCCATACCGGCGCGCCGTTCAGTGAACGACAAGTTCTACAGAACTTGTTGATATCTATTGACCACAGACATATGTGGAGGACTGCGGTAGTTGCGCGGGAACGTTCCATGTATAAGTACCTATATTGAGCTTCATCGTTGAACCACATGAACCCTTGGGAATAATTACCACGGAAGAAGGTCAGGCCGAACGATTGCACATACGCAGCAAAGACCAAGCAACGAGCTCTTCTCCCCCCGCGATTTTCGCACCCTCCCCCTCCCCCACCGACTATCGCCCTGATCTCAAAAGAAGAATGTTAGAAAGAAAAAAAAGAAAGAGAAGAACAATGCCGCATTCACTCCAAAAAACGAAGAATAGCGCTCGAACCTCTTCTGCTCCTTTACCAACTTTCCATCCGTCCTTTCTTTTACACGATCAAGATCTGCCGTCCGCCAAAAAGACACTTGCTTTTTTTCCATGCACGTCTCATCTAGGAAGAAAGAGGGGATCTCCCCCCACCCTTTCCTGCCCCCAACGAAAGACGCAATGATGATTGTTTTGTGGAAATATTGGCTTTGGGTAGCTCGTGGCGCCATCAAGCTTGGCACGCCGCCCCGTACTACGGGCGTCCAAGGTATCTGCCCCCCCCCTGACTAAGATGTTTGGCTGACTTTCGTGACCCTTCTCTGTTTTCTCTTGTCTGTTTGTCTTGTCTTGTCTTGTCTCGTCCAGCCCCCCGCAACCCCCCCCCTGACTAAAAAGTTCCAGATCACATAATTACAGATTGTACCATAACAAAACACGTGGGTCACAGTGGCAATGATCATTGATCGCCCTTTGCATGCGTAGTTTAGCTTTCAAGGTTTCGGGAGATCGGCACGTCGTGTTTCCCGAATCACAGCATGGGCTTTTCTGAAAAATGGAATTCTGGTAATGTCTTTGAAAAAGATCAGGAAAGTATGGGGGGATGCACATGAAGTGTTCGGGCCTGATGATCGTTGAAGGATGGGGGAGTGGGGGTGGCACACTCGCACCCGCGTTTCTGGTGTTTGTTTTCCCTGCTCTTTGCTTGTTTCTTTCTTATTAGGATGCGGGTTCGCAGGTGGATGTGGACATGGCGTTTCGGGAAGAGCCAGGAGATGGTCTGGAGGATGACGAAGGTGAAATATGTTGATGAACCTCATAAATGCTGCAGTGCGAGATGCAAGGAGCGCCCGCTGTGCCGCCATACAGTGTACACCACGTCTTCTTTTTTATTTTTGCATGCGGGGCTCACTCGCCAGCCATGTTTGTATACAAGCGCGTAATGAGGTTGCTTCTGGGGCGGATTGGCGAAAAAGTGACGCAGGGGGTACTTTGTGGCGGGAGTTGTCGACGTCCCATTCGCGACGGGCGCGAGTCGTGCGCTATCGAACAGCGCTGGCAGCGACGCCGCTTTCGGCCAGCGACTAGAGCGCGATTAGCTTGAAGCACAAAAAGTGAGTTGGGATTGGTAAGTCGGTCGCACCGCTTACTGGTGGGCAGCCTGGTCGGGGCACGAGAATGCTCTTGATTCGTGTGTAGCGCCACTCAGTCTGCTGTCCCGATCGGGCGGCCGAGAGGAGACGCCGGTGAAACGTATGTACATGTCAATCTCCCGTCAACTGAGGGTGATTTTTGCTGCGGCTGATGCAAGGTTCCCTTTCTCTGCTTCTGCCACCCCGCTTCTTCCGCTTCCTAGACTTATTGTATGCCCATTCCCCTTCCAATCCCTACCAGCTCCTCCTCCTCCCACTGGTCCACTCCTTAGACCCCCTATGTCTACTCGAAAACATGTCGACTAATTCACGCAGTACCGGTGTCTACTCGGGCGAGTCGAGTGACTCGGAACCTTCAATGTTGCGTCAAATCGACATGGACATTGAGAAGAGCAGCAGGAGCCCGTCTACGCTGAGACGCAAGGGCTCGGCGTTGCAAACATCAGTCGAGGTTTTGAGATGTAGATTTGGAAAGTCTGGAGAGGCACCGGAGAAGCTGGGAGATTTCAGACCATCCAAGGAGTGGACGCCCATTTTTTACTCGGTCTATCATCAGCGTGAGGCTGCCCTCTCGCACTTTCTTCGAGCTGGCGCGTCGCCGGACGACGTCACTAACATTGGACAACCACCACTGTGCATTGCTGTTGCGAACGGATATGTTGAGATTGCAAAGATTCTCCTCGGCGCTGGTGCGGACATCAATGCTACCACCAGAGAGGGAGGGGAGACTGCACTGCACATTGCGGTCAAGAATGGCCGCGTCGATCTTATGGACCTGCTACTATCACATGGACCCAACCTGGAACTCAAGACGCAAACGACGGGCGAAACACCTCTTCATTATGCAGCAGCAAAGTCGGGATCACTGGCAGTAGTCATGAGTTTACTACAGCACGGCGCCAGCTACAACACACTGAACGTCAATGCCCAGACCCCGGCTGAAGCAGCTTTGAAGGCCAACAATATCAACGGAGCCGTCGCCATTATCAACGCAGCAAACACCAAACGCAACGAACTGGCAAAAGAGAAGGAAATGCTACTGAAGCATGTGCAAAAGACACAGGGTCGCTTCTCTATCGGCAACGACCTCATTGCCGACATCTTCGCTGCAGCCTGCGACCCCGAGTCAAACGTGCTTGTGGAAGCCATCAAGAGAAACGACGTGCTGTTGGTGGAGATGTTCTTGGAAAAGGGCTCCGATCCAGACCGCAAGACTGTCCGAGGACTACAACCGATTTTTGTGGCTTTGTCGTGTGCAGGAGCACCAGTCGTCAAGGCAATCCTCAAGCGCAACCCCGATCTTTCGGTCCGTGACGAGAAGGGACTGAGCGTGCTTCAGGCTGCGTTCGAATGTCCATTGACAAAAGAGAAGGACACCATCCAAGCCATCACTGAGGCTTTGATCGAAGAGGGCGCCGATGCCAAGGTTACCTACCCCGATGGAAAGACGCTACTTCATCGCGCCGTGTCGCCGTCCTTCAGTCACATGAAGATTGCACAGATGCTCATCGATGCAGGTGTTGAGGTCAATGCACAGGACAGCGAGGGCAACACTGCGCTTCATGTTGCGACGCACAGCAAGATGTGCATTGACATGCTGCTAAAGAACAAGGCGAACCCCCAACAATTCAACGCCAAAGGACTGACGCCATTGTTGTTCGCTGCAACACAGTGCAAGAAAGATAATGAGCCCGTGCTGGATTCTCTCATCAAGGTGTCCAACTTCCGCAAGACGAATGCACAGGGACAAACGCCTTTGCATCTCGCAGCTGCGAACGGTCTGGACAAGACTGTGCGCTTGCTGTTGAGAGCGCGTGCGGATCCTACAGCTATTGATAACAAAAAGAACACTCCGCTCCTTCTTGCCGTCAAGAACCATCAGTGGTCCATTGCACCGATATTCGTTGCGACACCGAGTGTCAACGCATGGGACAAGAACGGCTTCAGTGCGCTGCATCATGTTGTCGCCAACTGCCCCAAGGCCCCAGCAACCTGGGAACATATTGCCACTACTACTGTAGCCTTCTGTGAACGCGGCGTGAGCAGAAGCATACGCGATCAATCTGGCGCTACGCCGCTCATACTCGCCGTCAAGACGCTTCCGGAGGAGGGTCTCCCCGTCATCGAAGCACTGTTGGCGCAGAAGGCGGGCGCAAAAGCGAGCTGGAACTTTGCCGACCACGAAGACCACAAGAAACGCGATGCGCTATATTACGCCGCGACCATGGGCAAGCCGATATTCGTCGACGCACTGCTCAGGAACGGCGCCACTTTTGAGTTTGAAGACTGGACGCCAAACAAGCACATGCTGCAGTCGTCGGAAGAAGTCAACAAGAAAATTTACAAATCGTTTGCGCAGCAGGAATGGGTCCGTCGTACGGTCGTCCTGCGGCAGCATCCCAAGAGCGCGGAGGATGAGGTATCGTCGTTCATGACGGTGCTGCCAACCCGCGATCTCGAGATTATGATTTCCATGGGTCTAGACGTCAACAACCTGCCCAAGTCGCCGCTTGGAAAATCCCTGCTGTGGGCTATTCTGAGGCATATCTCGCTGCAGCCCCCGTTGGCGCCAGAGTATCTTCTCCAGGTTCTCAGCATGGTGCTGGATGCTGGCGCTGATCCCAATGCGAGCAGCAACAGGCATGCAAAGCGCACGTCCTGGCCTTGTCCTCAACAGGGATTCACGGAGCCTCCCCGTTTGACGATCCATCCTCTTACTTTTGTCCTGGAGGAGTGTCCGGGTATCGATATCGAGGTCGTGAGATTGCTTCTCGCTCGAGATGCGAAACCGGGCCTTGCTTCGGGTTTCTACAAGGGCCGCTTCCCACTGCATTGTGCGGTCAAGGCGCGCCGTGCTGATGTTGTAGAGGAGTTGTTACTGGAGCAGGGCAATGTGGAGTGTATTGATGATACTGGACGAACGCCTTTGTTCTTTGCTGCTGAAGCTGGGGATCTGGAGATTGTGACTACGCTGCTTACTCGAGGTGCCAAGTTGGATGTCCTTGACTCGGAAAAGAATACGCTCTTGCATGCGGCGGCAGTGGGTGGCAGTGACAAAGTTATTGCGTCTCTGCTACGCGCTGGTGCGAAGCTGGGCAATAAGAATGCGAAGGGTCTTACGCCTATGGCTTGTGTGCCAGAAGGTCTTGACGAGAAAGAGAAGGGCAAGATTCAAGATATGCTCAAGGGTGCTGAAAAGAGGGGAATGATAGTCACAGAGGTGACAGTGAAACCAGCTGTAGTGAAGCCGTCTGAAGTGAAGACAGAGAAGACTAAACCCGATGCAAGACAAGAGGAAGAAAAAGCAGTCCGCGAAGCCGAAGCCAAAGCGAAGCAGATCTCAGAACAGCAACTCAAGCAGCGCCTCCAAAAACAACAGCAGGAAGACCAAGAAAAACCCTCAAAGCTCACCAAAGAACCCCCCACCGCCGCTGCCGCCGCCGTCAAACCCCAACCTCAAATCCAACTCCACGCCATGCCCCCCCAAGAAAAACCTCAACCCATCGTAACCACCGACCCCATCCCCTCTCCTCCCCTGCACAAACCCCGATCAACCTCCATATTCCGCAAGTCCTCCCTTTTCTTCACCCGCCACAAATCCGCCATCTTCTCCTCTGAGTCCGACTCCAGCGCCGCATCTGCACCAAAACAAAAACACACAACCCTCCTGAGCCTGCGCATCAGCGCCCCCTTCAAACAACGCAACTCCGTCGCCGGCATGAGCACAATCCCCCAATCCCCCAGTACACCCAACATACTCAGGAGTCCAGATTTTTTCACAAAGGACTTTGGTAGCTTGTCTGCTTCCGCTTCCGCTGCTGCTGCTGCTGCTGCTGCTGCTGCTAACACGCACCAACGCTCGTCATCGCCATCGCAGCCAGAGCGTCCGGCTGTCCCGGTTTCTTCGTCGGCAATTCAAACGCGGCTTTTGTCGCCTCGTGCGGATAGTGGACTAGGCCAGCGCAAGTCCACGGGGAAAGACTCGATTCTCGACTTGCAGCTTGTGAATGAGAAGTTGAAGAGGGAGAGTAGGATTGGTGTGGATAAGGGAGAGAAGGCGGATGCAAGTGAGTTTAGTGATTGGTTGAAGATGAGTGATATGTTGGAGAATCTGTAAACACGCGGTTTTTTTTATGGGGGGTTTTTTTTGGGTGCATGTTGATGTAGTAAGGAGGGAGTATATAACGCTCATTGATTTTTTTTTCGTTTGTTTGTTTGTTTGTTAGCATGAATCGTTTGGATGGGCGTTGCGCATATAACTGTGTCAAGGGGTTTCGACATCTTTCTTTTCTTTGTTTCTTTACGCGTTGGCATATGAGATTCGGATGTTGTATATATTGATACCCACGCTATATGTGGATGGAACTTTGGATGATGAAAGAAGAGGGGAGTGTAGTACGTAGCCTTTTCTTGCTTGTTTCCCTTCTTCCCTTGAGTCCTTAGACGGCGCTGGCTGTACGGGTCGATTTTTTTTTAAAGAAGTAATAGTGAAGTGTAATTGGATTGTTATTTGATGCAATATGGACATGAGTCATTGTGTGAAATCTGCCTTAGCAACATCGTTTCTTGTTTTCTTAACTACCAATCAAAACCTATTTTGGAAGAAGTTATAACATCCCCCCTGTGTCACGCAAATCCCCCCGTGCCGCAAAGAACCTGCGATTTTAGTATCTTAGAACTCACGCTATCGCTAATATTGCACTGAGATAATGATACACTTATTCTTAAGGCTATGCTCTACAAACTTAGGAGGGCGGTTGCTAATATTATACCGTGTTTAGTCCTGTCGTCGCCCATTCTATATCGACTAGTTAAGGGTTTATTGGCTTCACACCCCTGTTATAGCACGATATATTTAAGGTTTCTATATACTAGAGCGGTTAAATAATAAAACTATTATAGAAGAAGATATCTTTACATTTATTTAATATCTCGTCTTTGAATAAGTTATATTCCGGATTTATCCGAGTTCTGTATGTGATTCTATTCTGTTAGCTTATAACTTTGGCGGGCTTACGTGATAGTATATTAGTTTATGCTAGGTCGGATTAGGCTAAAATATGGCGTTTAGTTCTTAAAGCATCTATCTGATCACGTGCTGATCTATTTCTAGCATTAGAGTGAGGTCCTTTATCTTCTAGGCGGCGTAGTAGGGAGGGTAGGTGTCTATCGTGGTGGTTATAACGGTTCGAATACTTACCGAACTAATATCCGAAAGGGATCCGAACATAGGCACGAACTAGGCAAGGTCGGACCTACTAATATAAAATCCCACCCGTTCCTCATAGTAGCTTAATAGATTTTTAATATCTTTTTGTATAAGGCCTATAGGTGTCTATTCGAATTAAGGCTCGTTTAACGTCCTACGCACTCTTATATGCCTCTAAGTAACGCTACTACTAATACTAGCCTAACTAGTCTTGCCTGCACTATTATAAGTATAGTTATATAGCTTCTATTATATGTTAAGAGTAGAATCTTAAGTAGAAGTAATATAAGACTTCTAGTTTTAAGGCTCTTAAGGGTTAGTTTTCACGGATAAAGTAATAGAGTGATATGAATAGTGTCTCTATAAGTAACGCTTATATTATACTTATACTTATAACTTAAGTAGAATATATCAAGCTATAAAGGTTCAATTCCTATTACTATATACTAAGGAGTGTAGCTTACTCATTGCTAAGCACTGTATTACTTAATACTAAGCACTACTAACTAATTAGCTATTCTACTCACTACTAAGCGCTTACTCACTAAGAAGCAGTCACGTAACTATAGCACGGTTAGAAGAATTACGGTAAGGTATTTTATATTAGATTCTCTAAACTGCTAATAGTCGCTGCGCGTAATTACTTCTATAGTCGCTCCTCTTAAAGTCGTAATACTAATAAGCTTTAGTCTTAGTCTACTAAAGGAGGATATAATGTTATAAGAGGATATAAGTTAGAATAAAGCGTAGTAGGTCTAGAGACTAAAGCTCGCGCTCTACGTAGCGGGTGAGCCTAGTATTACTTATAGAACGCCGCTATTGCGAGCGCATACGACGGTATAAAGGTACTACGCGTTTTAGTAGCATAGCTATTACGTAGTTAAACAACTAATAGCCTCTTATATAACTACTATAATCGTTAAGGCCGTAGAGACGTTGTAACGGCCGTAAGAAGTTTATAAGAGATAAAGACTAGTAGAGCTGCGTATCTAGAAAATATCGCCTTTAGTATAACCCTTTAGCTAGTGCGGCTTAGCCGTCCTCCCTGTATATATTAGCATCATTAACGCTGAGCTATGCTTACTCTCCTTTTAATATAGTTACATATTACACGTACGCATATACGTAGGACCTTTTTATATACTAAAGTACGTTATATATATATAAATCACTCTCGCGTATTAGTCTCTATTCTACCCTAACATATTTACTCTTATGCCCTTATAGAAAAGTTTCGGATATTCTTAGTTTTAAGAATCTCTACTATCTTAGTTTATCTATAAATACCTACAATAGTAAGCAGAGACTAGCTATCCTTGTCCTCATAGCTCTATTACGCTCTATAATCAAGAAGTAATTTAACCACTTCTATATAACTATAAGCGGCTAGCTAAAAGAGCGGCATACGTTTGCTAACACTTGTTATATTTATATTCACAGCGTTTATCTCTAGAAGAGCACGGACGGTGCCTATGTAACCGCGAGCGGCTGCATACTATAGCGGAGTTACTCTTCTAGTGTCTTGTTTATCTAGAGAAACACCTTATTAAATAAATTTAAGGATAGCCTCTCTGTCTCCTTTCTTCATAGTAGCGCAAAGACCTACAATATTAAACTAAGTTTTTTTTCACGATACTAGTCTTAGCCTAGTAATTAAAAAGACAAAGAGTGTCTTTTTAACCGCTGGCCGCTGCCGACTGAATCATAGCATCCATTATGTCGATAGCTGCTATTTAATGCAGGTATTTAATAACTCTCCCACCGTCTTCGTTCCCTGCAGCTGTAATAACCACTTCTTGCGTAATCTAGACCTCGTCTCCGCGCTTATCAAGAAGCAGTGCTATAATGTCCTTACTATTACAGTAGTTCTATGCAGCTGCGACGACCACTTCTTACGTGATCTAGACCTCGTTTCTACGCTTATTAAGGAGCAGTGTTATAACTTTAGTATCTAACCTCTGCGCGATAGAAACTACTATCTCTTACGTGATCTAGACCTCGTCTCCGCGCTTATTAAGAAGCAGTGCTATAACTTTCTTACTACTGTCGTCGTTCTGTACAGCTGCGACGACCACTTCTTGCGTGATCTAGACCTCATCTCTACGCTTATCGAGAAGAAGCGATATAACTTTCTTGCTATTGCCGTAGTTCTATGTAGCTGCGACGACTACTTCTTACGTGATCTGGACCTCGTCTCCACGCTTGTTAAGAAGTAGTGCTATAACTTCCTTGCTACTGTCGTCGTTCTGTGTAGCTGCGACGACCACTTCTTGCGTGATCTGGACCTCATCTCCGTGCTTATTAAGAAGCAGTGTCATAATTTTCGCATTAAACCTCTGCGCGATAGAAACTACTATCTCTTGCGTAATCTAGACCTCGTCTCTACGCTTGTTAAGAAGCAGTACTATAACTTCCTTACTACTATCGTCGTTCTGTGCAGCTGCGACGACCACTTCTTGCGTAATCTAGACCTCGTCTCTACGCTTTTCGAGAAGTAGTGCCATAATGTCCTTACCGTTGCGGTAGTTCCGTGCAGCTGCGACGACCACTTCTTACGTGATCTAGACCTCGTCTCCGTGCTTATTAAGAAGCAGTATTATAATTTTCGCATCAAACCTCTGCGCGATAGAAACTACTATCTCTTATATAATCTAGACCTCGTCTCCGCGCTTATCAAGAAGCAGTGCCATAATATCCTTACCATTACCATAGTTCCGTACAGCTGCGACAACCACTTCTTACGTAATCTAGACCTTATCTCCGCGCTTGTCGAGAAGAAGCGACATAACGTCCTTACCATTACGGTAGTTCTGTACAGCTACAACAACCACTTCTTACATAATTTCTAAACGAGGCTAGTCTATTATTAGCAATTTTACTAAGCTTATATAGCTTCCGTTCCTCGTTACAACGTGTAGAGAGCTCCAGTTGTTCCGGTTCAAAGAATCCATCACTCCCACTAAACCTTCTACTTCATCTCCTATCAATTCCCTAAAATCAAAAGCGCACGATACGAATACACCAATACATATTTCTAAGTCTACCCTCAGGAATATATCCTCTAATTGTGTTTTTACATCCCAGTATCTATACCCTGCTAAATACTTTTATAGCCGCTTATTCTATAGGGCGATAGTAGAGTCTAAGCCGCCAAAACCTAATAACATATATTCTAACATTTTTTTTAGTTTTCCAGAGCGCCTTTACTCTTCCACTAATTTACAATACTTAGGCCAGTAAATATCCACATATATACATATCTATTTAAAGGCCGCAGGTAAAGCATTCGCAGAGCAGCCCAGCTAAAGCAGTAATTTCTTAGTAGTAACGTTAGAGCTAGCGGATAGTACAGTCTATAGACACGTCTCTGCTACTAGAGCGTTTGTCGTTATACTACCATATTCAGGTCTCTACTCTAGGTATTCTTAGATAGAGAGATATATAAAACGAAACGTATCTAGCTACGAATCGAAGATAATAAAATTATTATAAATCTTTAGCACGAGATCCTTTAATAGTACCTTTATACTACTTCCTAACTCTAAATCTATTAAAACTACATATAGGAGTTCTTTAGTTCTTAACATTTTCCGAGCGCATAAAAGCTAGCAAAGGGTATTCTTAAATACTACTACCTGTTATGGGCGGAGAGGCCTAGCGAACGAGTATGCTTCTACCTATCGTACAGAAGCTAAAAGATAAGAAAAAGAGAAGATAACTAAGTACAGACTTCTCTTATACCTGCTCGCTTCTGATCACGTGTCCGTACAGAAGGTATATCACGTGGTCGAAGATCACGTGATCCTCTTCAGTAGAGATCACGGGCGCAGCCCTTTACAATACTCCCCTCCTCCACTCGTACGGACATGTTTGCGTTTGTTTGTTTTCCTAGGAGCACGCGGCTGCCTAACTTGCGGTGGAGCAGCGGCGTTTGTTTGCTCTAGTGAAGGAGGATTTCCACGAGAGTAAACGCTCCCTCCGTACGATATATAGAGCTGCCGTCTCTCTCCTTCAGCTTTTTCTTCCTTTGTGTTAAATCAATTTGACTCCACTACTACACAGATTTCTTCTTTTCTTTCTAACCACACTCGTACGATGCCGCCGAAAGCGCAACCACCCCCTCGCGGTATTTGGGCCAACGCAAATACTAATAGTTTATAGTTTTACACTAACGGTGGCCCTAATAATACTATTAACAACGTGGCTAACTAAATCTTCAACGCTGCCTACTAGGCTCTAACTCGTACGACGCTAGGCGCTGTACTGCTAACTTTTAATATGCTAGACGCTGTCAACCTAAATAAGTATCGTATCTAGTTTATCTTTGATTAGCGCGTCGTAGATAAGCTGCGCCGTATTTACGCGGTTGCCTCTATACGTAATACTTTTCTAACTTCTTATACGGCTAGTGTTAACTTACGTAGGAGGACATTCGCTGTGTTTTTAACTACTTCTATCGCCCTCGCGGCAACAGTCCGTACGATGCTGTCTTCGGTCCGGGCCCTCGCGACTACTCGCCTATAATCGCACGTACGACTATCACTGCTCGGCAGATTCTTACTAGCCGTCCATCCTACCTCAAGGCCTTTATTGTGCATAGCCGCGGCGCTCTTAACGCGGCTTTTTATACGAACAATTGCGCCGCTGTTCTGCGAGGCGAGAAGGAGTTTACCGCATTCGCTAGCTGCGTGTCCATCGCCGATAAGTGAGGTAAAGCCTACTCTAACTGCGTCTAGCAAGACTATAGAGCTCGTTACAGTGTCACTCAGCAGGCAGTCTCTCGTATAGGAGGTGGGCGCAAGAGGCTCTCTAATGGTTCTAGCAGTGGCAACTAGCGTAGTCGTCCGGCTGCGGGTGGTGCCGAGAACCCCCTACTCGTAGAGTAGGTAGGCCTACCTTCGCCAGTTTCTTCTAAGTCGTCCGTTAGGTTATCGTCCAGGTTAGGTGTGGGACAACCATGACTATAGGGCCGTAGTGTTAGCGAGATAGGCGGCGGGCTCCCATGTGGGCTCGTCGTAGCCCACCTAATAAACAAGGTATTCTATTTGCCTGCGCCTTATTCTCTCGTCCGTAATGTCTCGTACTGTCCACTCTAAGTGTTCCTCATTATTTTCATTATCTTGTACGACTGTAGTAGTTAGGTTGGTATCGTCCGTCTGCTGCGATAGGAATAGGTCGTTAGCCGCCGGACGGAGCTTATCTACATAGTAAGTCTTTGTTTCCTATAGTACGGCTAATTCCACCCAGTAAGGGTCTCGTACGCGAGCAACCTGGAACTTAGCGCTTTTCTAATTAAGTTTCTTACTACTTCTAGCCGTACGTACATCGCGTAAGTCTAGCCATACCTAGTCTCCTACGCGGTAGGTGGGCGCTAGTCTGCGGGACTTATTAGCTTATCGTTCTTATTCTTATTAGGCGTAGGTCATGGCAGATATAGCCCAGTTAGTAGCATTACTAATCGTCCGGACAATCTCCTTTACAGCTTCTCCTACTTCGTCGGCTTACGTGACCGTTTAGGGCTAGGGGAAAGGAGTGTTATAGTAACTATAGTGTAGGAAGAAAGGTAAAACTCCTATTATCATATTCGTACGGGAGTTGAGTATAAGTTCTAAAAGGGGGCAGAGTTATGCCTAGTTATCTTAATCGTAGTTGCAGAAGATCTGTACGACTGCTTCTATATCGCTATTAGCGCGCTCTATTATTCCGTCCGTCTATAGGTAATAGGCTGTTAAGAGATTTCTCTAGATACTAAGTAGCTGGCAGACCTGTTTCCAAAGAGAGCTGGCGAATTAGAGGCCGCGGTCGGACGTGATAGACTATAGAAGGCTATGATGCCGGTAGACTTCCCGTACGAAGGCCCAAGCAACGTCTATTGTCTCGATCTTATCTATAGGGATTAGCACGATACCTTTGCCTAGTCTGTCCTTCACTACCATAAGATTGGTTTTCCCTTAAGAGCTAGGTAAACCCGTGATAAAGTCGACTGTTAGATGTTACCACGTACGACTAGGAACGGGTAATGGTTTTAAGTACCCATATTTCCCGTCCCTCTAGGGGGTGCTTTTCTGGTATAGCTCGCAATTCCGTACGTAACGGCGTACATCAGTGCTCATGTTTGGCTAATACCATTCTCTTACAATAATTCTATATGTTTCCTCTCGTCCAGAGTGTCCTGTTAGCAGAGACAGGTGCGCAGTTTGGATTACTCCTGTCCGAAGTGGTTCACATTCAGGTACCCATACTCTATTACGCTAGCACAACTTATCTTCAGCGTTAATCGTACAGTCGCCTAAAGAGATAGCAATCTTACGAGAGCTAGGGAGAGATCGTTTTCCTTCCCACACAGCCGCTCTTATTTCTTAGTATAGGGAATCTTCTTGTGCGGCGCTATCCCAATAATCTCGTACGAGCGTAGGAAAATGTGGTGGTCACGGCAGTGTAGTCGACACTAGGGGAGAGATATCTTCTTAAGTGTCGGTAGTGTCTCGTACAGGCATAACCGCAATACTTTCCTAGGTCTGGGCTAGCACTAGCATAATGAATTCTCTTGATGCTAAATGCTCATCTAGGTCGTCCTTCTGCATATCTTGGTCTCGCCTAGATAAGGCGTCCGCCCGTACGTTCTCCTTGCTAGGGCGGTAGCGGAGTTTTATATTTAGAAAGCGGGCTAGTTCTAAGTTCCATCGTACGTGGCGTTCGGAGAGCTTTTGCTTATAGGTGAAGTATTCTAGGTTCTTATAATCTATAACTACTTCGAATTCTCGTACGCCTCGTAGTTCAGCGTCCCACTCTTTTAAGCAGCAGATCACCGCTAGTAGCTCTTTGTCGTGGATTGGGTAGTTCGCTTTATGAACTAGTAGCTTTCAGGAGAAGTAAGCTATCGTACGTAGAGTACCTTTGTCGTCTTCTTGCAGAAGTACAGCACCTATTGCTCGTCTAGATAAGTCACACTCTACTACTGTCCGCCTGTCTGAGTCGAAGGCAGCTAACACTTCATCGGAGAGGAAAGCTTCCTTAAGGGCGGCAAAGCTCAGCTCTTGGTCTCGGCCCTATTTAAATTTAGCGTCTTTTCTTGTTAACCGTACGAGAAGTTCTACCAGTCTTGAGAAGTTAGAGATAAATCTACGGTAGAAATTGGCGAACCTAAGGAACCCTCTCACGCCTCGTACGGTAGCTGGAGCTTCCTATTCTTGAATAGCTCTTGTCTTCTCCGTGTCCATTAAGACGCCCTTCCCTGCTTTAAGAATAAATCCTAAGTATTTCGTACGTTGGACGTTAAACTTACACTTCTTAAGTTCAAGCTGTAGTCCTGCAGCTTACAGACGCTCGATTACTTACTGTACGTGGTCGTAATGTTAGGATATTAAGCTATCCGTGTAGATTAGAATATCGTCTAAGTAGGCGGAAGCGAAATCGTCTAGAAACTCGCGCAGCGTCTAGTTGATATAGCGCTGGAATGTGCTAGGAGCGTTAGTAAGCCCAAAAGAAGTAACTAGCCACTCGTACGACCCAAACTAGATACGGAAAGTAGTTATCCATTCTTAGCCCTTAGTAATCCGAATTTTGTGAAAGGCGGCTGTAACATTAAGCTTTATATACTACTTTGCTCGTCCGACTTAATTTAGCGTCTCCCGTATAAGAGGCAGCGGATAACAGTCCTTACAAGTTAGCGCATTTAGGGCGCGGTAGTCTATGCAGAATCTTAGTCCTCCTCTAGGTTTCCGTACGAAGAGGACTGGTGACGCGGCGGAGGAGTTACTTACGCAGATGAACCCTTTCTTAAGTAACTCGTACAGTGTCTTGCGTAGTACTAGTAGTTTATCTCTAGACATATTATAGAGAGGTCCGTACGGGACTTCTAGCAGCTTCCCGTCGTCCTTAGGAATCAGTTCGATCTTGTAGTCAACGTCTGGGCCTCGTAGAGGCGGGAGCTCGTCTCCTTTCTTTAGGGTAAATAGAGAGGCGTACGGTCGTAAGTATAAAGAAAGCAACTTAGTTACTTCTGCTATAGTTAGCTATATCTTTAGGCGGAGAGCTTTCTCAATGTCCTGAAGACTGGCAGCGAAGACTTGCAGAGCTGGCTATTTTCGGCTTCGTCGTACGTGGGCCTAAAAGACGGCTGCTGAGATTGCGGCGAAGTTCTATAGTGGTTTAGTTCTCTCTATGCTAGGCACAGAGAGATCGTAACGTAGAAAAAGAAGTATTCGTCCGGCCGCATCAATAACACCTCCTACATCTTCAAGCCAGGTTTTCCCTAAGATGATATCATACTCGTACGTAGACGTGGTGATAAAAGCGGCTGCTTTTCGCTTAATCCCTCCAACGTCTATAGTAAATTGAGTAATGGCTCCTACGGTGCTCTTCTGGTTATTAACACCTTTAATCTCCCTAGTAGAGATAGATACGCGCGGCAGGTCAAGTTCTCGTACGAGTCTTTCACATACTATCGCATAAGTACAGCACCCATTATCAATCATAGTAGTAGCGTTTTTCAAAAGATTAACGATTACGTCTATGGACATTGGCTGAGTAGGCTTTAGTTAGTAAAGTAGCTCTTGGACAGGTCGTACGACCTGCTTAACCTGCTTTGGCTGCCCTAGTCGGCGTTTTTGGACTAGGGCTCCTCTTTTCCCTCGTCCGAGCTCTCGTCTTCTAAGGTAGCAGCTAGGACTTTTGTTACGGTCTCTAGCTTGCGCGTGCGTTTTGGGACTGCTGCTTTACACTGTCGTACGAGGTGGCCGTGGATGCCATAGCGTAGGCAGCTGCCCTCCTCCTTACGTTGAGCAATTTGGTTTTGTGTACCCCAGTACTCATTCCTCGTACGGGGACGCATGGCGCCTATATTAGGCGTCCAGTCCATTTCGTCCACGGCAGCTAGGGTAGACGTAGGAAGAGAGGTCGAGTAAGAGGGCGCGTTAGACGAGAGTTGGTTAATTACCTTAAGATTCTCCTAAGTGTTCCTAAGTTGATGAACAAAGGCGTCGTACGTCTCGTTTAAAGGAGGCTGGTACCTAGCTTAGTAGCGTAGTAGCTTCCTATTGAGAGAATTCTTGAGATAGTCAATTTTCAGCGCGTCGTCATCTTGTCCAAAACTAGCTTTGTTGAACTTTAGATTGAAAGCTCGTACGTAGAAAAGAAACTCGCCTTTTCCTTGCTTAGTCGTACGGAGATACTGTAGAGCTTTTTGCTTAATTAAAGGGTCTTCGAAGAACGCGTCTAGTTGCTCCTAAAGCTTGCTTAAGCTGGGTGATAGATTTCTGCTCGTGAAGTCTTGTACGTAAGCCTATAATGCTGAAAAGGCTAGTCCTCCCATACGGGAGATTACATAGTAAGCTTAGTAGAACTCCGTAGGGTAAGCTAGATAATCCGCCGATAGTTTCGTACGGATCTGCATCTTCCACTGCGTGTATTCTTCGTGTGAGCCTTTCTCGAAGATTCTAATATCAGGGAGTCTAGCTTTTCTAAACTCTTATACGGGCGTAGGCGTAGCTAGAGGCTAGCTAGGAGGTTACTAACTTTCCATACTCGGCGTGAGATTAGGAGTCTGTACGTTAGGGGTAGCTTGCCCCTATGCCGTACGGAGGAAAAGGGCTTTCATCTCTTAGAGTTCTTCTCGTACGCCTTCAGCGTCCTTAAGTCTTATAGCTATTTAGTCTAGGTTTCGTCGGAGTAGATTATTCGTTGCATTAAGTTGGCTCTAGCTTTCTGCGAGCTCCTCGTATGTCGGAGGCCTTAGCGGGGCGTTACTAGGTTCTAGGTTTGGTATAGGCTTATGTAGCCCCATCGTTATATCTTATTCGTTTTGCATTCTCAATTCTCTCTCGCTCCGTACGAGAGAAAAGAGTAAGAAGGGTTAAAGTAATCTTTTAGCTTATGTTATGGGCGGAGAGGCCTAGCGAACGAGTATGCTTCTACCTATCGTACAGAAGCTAAAAGATAAGAAAAAGAGAAGATAACTAAGTACAGACTTCTCTTATACCTGCTCGCTTCTGATCACGTGTCCGTACAGAAGGTATATCACGTGGTCGAAGATCACGTGATCCTCTTCAGTAGAGATCACGGGCGCAGCCCTTTACACTACCTAGACTCAACCTAGCTTCGTAGAAAGCAACTCGTAAAGTTCGTTATAGAGAGTATTTAAGTTAGGCGGAAGTCGACCAAGGCTGCTCTTAATATTATTATCTAGCTTAAACGAGCAGAGGTACTGCAGCTATATGCTTACCCAACGAAACCTACATATTAGGGTTAGTATTATCACTCTAACCATATTCTTTAACGTATATTCTAACAGCACCCTTCAA